CGAAGAATTGATTTGCCGCGCACAAGTGCGAGGTAATCCCCCCGCCCCAAGTTATGATGATGTATCGTCGATTGTGTCGTCCCGAGTTGTCACGCACTAGTGCGAGGTAAATGCCTTGTCGCCCAGTGCTCGCTCGTAGAGGCCCCTTAGCTACCTCCCCGTTTACTAACACTCCCTTTGCAGGGGCTTGGTGCAGGCCCACGCCTGTGAAGAAGGAGGGGGCGGTGGCAGGAGGAAGGCTGCGGAGGCTGAGGAGGAGTCTGCCGCGACAGTGGAGCTCCCCCCTCGGCGGTTGTTCGCGGCCGGGGCTGCCGCTGCCGCCGCCTGCTGTCGGCCTTGTTCGCCCCGCCCTCCTTCGCACTTCTCCCCTCTGGCCTTCCTCCTCCTGCCTCACCCGGAGCATTTGATACTGGAATTTTCCACTCGCGGCCGACGAGAGCGGTCGCTACCGATGCCGCTTCCAATTTCGGTGTCGGTCGCAACCGATTTGCTTCAAAATCGGTGGCGACCGATCGGTCGCGACCGATCGGTCGCGATCGGTGGCGACTGGTCGCGACCGATTCTTGGATCGCGGTCGGTCGCGACCGATTTGGAGTGCCGAGCGGTCGCTACCGATCGCGACCGAAAAAGATCGGCAGTCGTCAATCCTCGAGGACGCGAGCCGGGATACCGAGGGAGCACCGGGCACCGGCACTCTTGGGGCCTGGCGGCCGCGGTGCGCACAGGTTGTGCGAAGCGGCTGGGGAGCTCTCTTGTTCCTTCGAGTAGCGGAAAGAGCGAGGTACGAGTGATGACGTTCTAGTGTGGGGGCGCCGCCCTTGAGGAAGGGGTCCTTGGGAGGGGCGAGGCCCAGACGCAGGGTTGGTAATGGCCGTTTTCGGGTTTTCCCTTCGGTTTTTGCATGTTCTTCGGGTTCTCCCTATCTCCGTCCCAGAAGAGCCCAAGACCGCCCAAGGCAGCCCCAAGACGTCCCAAGAGGCCTCCAGGACGCCCAAGAGGCGCCCAAGAGGCGTCCCAAGAGGGCCCCAAGGGGCCAAGGAAAACGTGCATTTTTAGCATGCACGGCTTTTCGGCTTTCACGGCGTTGACGACGGCCCAAGAGGCCCCCAAGACCGCCCCAAGACGGCCCAAGAGGCTCCCAAGAGGCCCCCAGAACGGCCCAAGAGGGCCCCCCGACGGCCCAACGGGCGCGCAAGACGGCCCAAGAGGGCCCCAAGACGGCCCCAAGAGGGGGACCACGAACCGAAAGGTTTAATCTGTCGCCCCAAGAGGGGGACCACGAACCGAAATGTCGAGCCTTTCGCCCCAAGAAGCTCCCAGGAGGCCCCAAGAGCCCCCCAAGAAGCCCCAAGAGGCCCCCAAGAGGTTTCCAAGAGCCTCCAAAAGGGCTCCAAAAGGGCCCCAATAGAACTCCCAAGAAGGCCCAGAGACGCCAAATAAAGAGCGATCGGTAACGCAAAACGCTCTTCACACCAAGGCTCGCAAGAGCGAACGGTGACGTAAACAAGCTGATAAGACCAAGGCTCCCAGCAGAGAGCGGTGACGTAACAAGTTCCTGACACCAAGGCCCAGCCAAGGCTCAGGAACGGGCGGCAACGCAACAATCTCTGAACACCAAGGCTCCCAAGAGCGAGAGGTGACGTAACAAGCTCTCAACGCCAAGGCTCCCAGTACGAACGGTGGTGTGAGTAATTTCGGTTTCTGTTTCTGAAGCGCTCTTTCCGTTTCCGTGCCGGCCCAGGTAACGGAAAGAGAGAGGTACGAGTGATGTTGTTCTGGTGTGGGCGAAGCCCTAAAGGGAGGGGTTCCAGGGGAAGGGGGTAGCGTGCACATTTGTGTGTTAATGGCCGTTTTCGGGTTTTCCCTCGGGTTGTTGCATGTTTTTCGGGTTCCCCCCAAGACGGCCCAAGAGCGCTCCAAGAGAGCCCAAGACCGCCCAAGACGGCCCAAGAGGCCCCCAAGAGGCGCCCAAGGGGCGTCCCAAGAGGGCCCCAAGAGGCCGAAATCATCGATTTTCGAAAGGAAAACGTATATTTTTAGCATATGCGCTTTGTCGGCTTTCACGGCGTCGACGACGGCCCAAGAGGCCCCCAATGCCGCCCCAAGACGGCCCAAGAGGCTCCCAAGAGGCCCCCAAAACGGCCCAAGAGGGCGCCAAGACGGCCCAAGAGGCGCTCAAGACGGCCCAAGAGGGCGCCAAGACGGCTCCAAGAGGGGGACCACGAACCGAAAAGTCTAGCCTTTCGCCCCAAGACGCTCCCAGGAGGCCCCCAAGCCCCAAGAGGCCCCCAAGAGGCGTCCCAAGAGGCCACCGGGAGACGAAAATCATTGATTTCCTATGGGAAAAGGTACATTTTTTGCATACGAGGCTTTTCGGCTTTCACTGCGTTCCAAGAGGCCCCCAACAGCCCAAGAGGGCGCCAAGACGGCCCAAGAGGCGCCCAAGACGGCCCAAGAGGGCCCCAAGACGGCCCCAAGAGGGGGACCACGAACCGAAAAGTCTAGCCTTTCGCCCCAAGAAGCTCCCAGGAGGCCCCCAGAGCCCCCCAAGAAGCCCCAAGAGGTTCCCAAGGGGCCTCCAAAAGGGCCCGACAAGGGCCCCAATAGGACTTCCAAGAAGGCCCAGAGACGCCAAATAGAGAGCGATCGGTAACGCAAAAAGCTCTTCACACCAAGGCTCCCAAGAGCGAACGGTGACGTAAACAAGCTGATAAGACCAAGGCTCCCAGCAGAGAGCGGTGACGTAACAAGTTCCTGACACCAAGGCCCAGCCAAGGCTTAGGAACGGGCGGCAACGCAACAATGTCTGAACACCAAGGCTCCCAAGAGCGAGGGGTGACGTAACAAGCTCTCAACGCCAAGGCTCCCAGTACGAACGGTGGTGTGAGTAATTTCGGTTTCTGTTTCTGAAGCGCTCTTTCCGTTTCTGTGCCGGGCCAGGTCTAACGGTCCCAGAATGTCGGGTGGGGAGCAGGGCCTGGAGGAGAAGGCCCTCATCAGCATTGCGCCGTTTTCGGGATCCTGGCGTTGACGGTGAGTAGTGCCTCGTGCCAGGCCAGCCCTGATCCGAATGAGATGAAAGATGGGGAGTCGTATCGCATACATCTCGATACTGATCCCTCCACAGGCGAACAGAAACGATATCTGGTCGCACCTCAAGCTGTGGCCTCGGCCAGTCAAAGCTCAATCCACAAATCTTTAGAGTGAGCGCTTCCCCGCCATGGCAGCGTGGAAGTGTACCAGCCAGAACCGCAGCGGATTGTCAGTCATATGGACTAGGAGTCAGGTGTGAATGATAATGTGTCTTATTGCTGACACCTGGGGCCATCCCAACGCCCTGGTACCCTAACCATAAGACTCAGCGTGAACAGTTGGCCCTTGGGGCGGCCCCGTGGTCCAGGATACGGGTGCCTCAGGTTCCTTTGCCCTCTTGCCGATTGCCTGCATTCCCGCGAGCGCTTTGTCACAGACTAAGGCCTATCTCGGCCTATCGGGGGACGGTTGCGTGACCGTGGCGCGATTTTTACAGTGGCTTCCATGTACAGCATGGAGTCTACAGTATTCGGGTTATGTTCGCGAGCGTGAGACGTTCAACAACATGCGTATACGATGTGTCGAGCGAGGGCCCGCATAAGTTTCTTCACGTGCGGTTACCGGTTGAGTTTAACTCAATCCAAATTGATCCATTTTAGTCGAGCTTAAACCTTGTCCGAGTCGAGCGCGGTCTGGCTTAATCGCCCCTCAATCTTCGGGGGCGGCCAACAGGGGGATGATGCTTCGTGGGGGGGGGGTATCATGGCCGGGGCTCCCCGCACATGCCTCGGGCCGTGATTTGCGAACCCCCCTCCTGATCTCCCCCTACTTGGACGCCACCGATATCTGGCCTACTCCGCCGCATCGGCGATGCGGCTCGATGTGTAGCCCGATTTTCTTCACGCTGACGTCGCCGGTGCATCTCTGACGTCGCGAATGCATCGGCGACGCGGTGCGATCCTCCAACCCCATCTATTCGGACCCCTTGTGGGAGGTCTTGAAGGTCAGGAACTTTGGCTTAGCGTGTCGCTCCGCCAGTTCTGGCCCCCCACGTTTCGGCGCGACACGCGATCCATCTCCCAACAAGTTTTGGAGGCAATGACTTTTGTCTAAGGGGCAAGCTTCTTGCTTGGTTTACCTTCGCCTGGCTTCTTGAACGCAAAGCAACACTGCCATCAGCGAGCTCTTTCAAGTCACATACTTCTGCAACCGTGTTTGCCTTCAGTGGAAATATTTCCCTCAAACACATTTTGCTTGCAAGCATGTTTGACAAGACGTATGTCTCCCCCTTCTGCCAGCAGGGAGAGAGAGAGAGAGAGAGAGATTGAGCAGTGTTCTTCAGGAAAGTAGAGGATACCGATCCGCTGCGTGTCCTAGAGAATCCTCGTCGCCATAGCTGTATTCTCCTTAGAATTCGGGTCAGGATGCACCCAGGGAAATATCTGGGAAGCGCAGTCAACCCGCATAGTAAGGACTCGCGGCTTCCCAAGGTCACCCTTGCATCCTTGCACCTTCGGCCCATCCTTGGCCGCTTTCGCTGGCCGCGCCCCGCTCGCAAAGTATCCTCATCGTGCGTCCTCATTCTGCGTGTTGACTGAAGCGGTGTCTGGAAGTGTTCCTATTTTTCTTTCCCCAGTACAGTCGGTGATGATGTCAGGGGTCTAACTACTCCTCCCCCTGCTCGTCCTCCTCGCTCGCCCGCCTCTCAGCCGCTGCCGCTCTCTCGCCGCGGGAGTCGTGCGGGTCGCGGGCGCTGTGTATGGACGGGCGTCGCTCGTGCCTGGTGCTCCCGCGAGCCAACCACTGGTGGGCATGTTTTCCACCACCACCGTAAGCTGGAGAGGGGAAGGAGGAGGACGAGGACCAGGAGGAGGAGGAGGAGGAGGACCCCCTTCTCCTCCAACTTACTGTACGGTGGTGGCGGTGGAAAACAGCCCCATCACCGACCAACCTCCACGGCCTGCGAGGAAATCTGTTCGTGCTCTACGTCGCGATCATGGCCTTCAGCTCGGCTGTGCGCGCGGGGATGGACGGGCAGCCTGTTCTTCGAGATTTCCATGCCCGCCTGTTCGCGCGCGCTTCCTCCGCGGCCGCCCCCTCCTCCCCTTCTGCCGTTCGTGCATGCGAGAGAACTAGCAACTCCGCAGCCCGGGCTTGCTCTACGCGCGAGCAGATCGCCTCCGCCGAGCCCCGACGGAAACAACAAACCGATCACACAGATGCACGTGGGCGTTAATAAACGGGGGGGGCAACACAGATGGGGGTTGGGAGTGTTATAACATCCAAGAGGTTGGCCCTGCCAGGAAATCGTCTCGACCTCATTGTCCGCCCCGTGCATGCGGCGAAGGTGTGCCCGAAATGCCCAACTCTGCATGCGTGCTGCCCAGGGTGTCAGTGTGTCCAGGCATTGCGGCGTCGCATTAAAGCATCCTTGAACCGAGCTTCCTTTGTGTTGTGTATGGGTCGTCTTTGGCCGATGCGCCACCCGTTCGCATTGATCGGGGTCTGACGGCCTTGAGTTTCTATTAGCCACGAGCTGAAGTCGATGATTAAGCTAGTCAGATAATGTTATTTGGTTGATATGTACGGTGGCCAGGATTTGGCACTTGGCTATCACGTCAAACTTTGATGGAATTGGCATCTGAGTTTGAAGTAGATGCGGCTTCGCCACGATACTGTTCGGGGACTTGATGCTGCATAAAACATAGAATAACGTAGTCCGACATGTGTGTTCCGCATGCAAACGGTTGTGTATGAATTTTTGTGACTCGATTTGAGCTCACATAGGGCGTGCACCTGAAATATCAGAGACCTGCCTGCGGCTGACATGGATGTTCGGTGGGCGGTTTGGGATGGCCATGCAGCACAAGCACCCGATCGGATCTCCTCCAAAAGGCACCGCCGCATTTCTGCGACACACCTTCAGGGGATGAACTGGGAGGATGACGAGGTGTAGGATGAGGAGGAGGAGGAGGTGGTCCGTAGCCATTTTGGCTCAAGTTGCCATCTTCTCGAGGTGGTACAGTGACCAACGATTGTGCGCCGGCAAGTAGGAAGATGGCTTAGCCTCGCTAGCTGTCGCTCATTTGCTGGGCCACTCTCGGCCCAATTCTTCGATTTTGCGAGCTCCTGCTGGAACATACTTCTCCTCAGCTTTGCGGGAGCCACGTCAATGCCTGAACATGCGCGAAAGGGCGGAAGTGACAGGTCTCCTGCCCAAAAGTCGGCCAAGATGGAGGAGCCGACAGGTGAGGAGATCGAGGCTCATGCGATGTTTGGTGACAGTCTGCCCTCTACTCCTTGTGTTCCTTCTGATGCCAACGATCCTTGGCAGTCGGCTGACCCATGGAAGGGAAGGGGCAAGGGTCCGGCTCCGCTCCCAGCCCCGCCTTTTCCACCCTCGCGTGGCAGGCTGCCAAGCGTGAGGAATCAATGTCGCAGGCAACCCCTCCTTTCAACACAGACGACGTCGAGGAGCTGCTGGCTGCCTTTAAGGCGGAGGTCATCACCACCGTCGATGCCAAGTTTGATGCTGCTCGGACTGCCATGGTCGCCGATATCACCAGTCACACGTCCAATATTGTCAGAGCTGTTGCCACCAAGCAAGAACAAACCACCATTCAAGTACAAGCTGAGCTTCGTGCCCTGCACGCCGCACAGGAAGCCTGGGAGAAATCGCAACACGAGATGCGTTCACATTTTGAGGAGATGCGAAAGGAGTTGTACATTGCAGAGCGGGCCATCCCCATCAAAGACTGTGCCGACCTAGACGTCCGGGAAGGAGACCCTGACCCCACGATTATGGTCGCCAACCTCTCTGCCCTCGCCTCTGTTGCAGATGTCGCGGCCGTGCTCACGCCGTGGCTCGAGGAGGCTGACATCAAGGAAAATCAGTGGAAGCTCGTCGGCAGTTCCCCCCACAGGCGCGCACGATCCAGATGGCTGGCGACACGGGAGCTGCTCAGAGAAAAGTACGTGCTGATCGTCGTGCTCTTCGCAACCAAGCTGGAGATTGGAAAGTGTTCAATGTATCGGCAACGGTGAGAGAGCGTGCCAGAATATATCTTGACCTTGATAAGTCTTCCATGCAGACGCGCATTGAAATTCAAACAAAAAGGCTGGCGAACATTGCTAAGGATATTCGCCCCCAAGCGAGAATCAAACACAACCGGTCCAAGGGCATTGTTTACTTCGAGGGTGTTCCGACGATCGCGGTCTAGCCTGGTGACTCAATGGGGGCACGTTCGAGTCTTCTTTGGGTCTATGGGTCTGTCAATGCGAGAAAGGTGAACCAGAAAGCGGTGCAGGAGGCTTTCGCTGCTCATTTTTATGCGATGGAAGTTCAAGTTCAGTGGCGCATTTATCCGCGCCATGAACGCATGGCAATACAGTCCCAGCAACCGTAACAGAGACATCGCGATCAGCACTTAGAACACACGTGCGCTCCTTCACCCTCAGCCTGACATGAGAAAGAAGAAGTGTAACCAACTTCGAGCGTTCTCCCGTAATCCGGCCACTTTTGCTCTGCAGGAGGTTCATGGATCTCATGCTGTTCTCGAACTTCAACTCTATCAACGCAGGTTAGACTACGGCGTGGTGGCGTCCACCCCCTCGCACGCGGCTGGTGGAGTCGCCATGATTATCCAGATAATGGCGAAAAATCAATTTCGAGCAGGTCTGGATGAGGAACGCATGAGATACTCGGAGCCGATTTCTGCACGCGCCCAGCGGCGTGCGATCAAATCCATTCCTCTGCGTGAAGGCCAAGAGCCTACAATGCTAGTCTGCTACGCCATTCACATCACAACTTTGGACTCTCACTGGAACAGGTGGAGCTCCGAACAGCCAGGATAGCTGCTAAGACACAAGTCGCTGCCCAATGTCCAGAAAAGGGTCACAGATTTTGTGTTGGGTGACTTTAATTTCTCGGTCGACGCGCCCATGCATCTTCATGTTCCAGAGATGGGTAAAGGTCTTCCCGTGCAGCCTCGGCTGCGCGAGCACGGCGCGTCTTGGTGGCTCACGCTCTCGGGCTTAACGGAGCTTGACCTTTAGAAGCCGACGCATTACATAGCTGGCGAGGACAAGTTCATTGCCCCTGACAAGGTTTTCACATCAGCGTCACAATGGATGATATTGGAATTGGATCTCACTGCGACTGTTTTGACAGAGCCCGAGCGCTTGTATGGAGCTGGCATCTCGGACCATGCCCCTGTCTCTATCACCTTCCGCGGACGCCCTCTCGTGGCCAACAAGCTGCGCCTGCCTTGCTCTGCAAGTCCAGGGAGTGCCAGGGGATGCTCCAGCTGCTGATCAGCCAGTCGGAATTTCAGAGGCGATCGCCGATCCCCAAGTAGCGTGAGCTAAAGAGGTTGATGAGGGAGGCTGCTCGACATGTCCGCGGCAAACTGGCCCGCTCTGCGACCCCCTTCTGGAGGCTCGCTTGATAATTGCTCGATCGATCTCTAGAGCGGTTCATTCTGATGACGTAACGCTGGCTTCAGCTCTGCTCACTCGCACGCCTATCGCCAAATATTACATGAAGCTCGGCGTAGCGCCCTCCGCGGTCTCGACGCTTGCCCCGGCGGGCTTTCGTCGTCAATCTGAGCAGCTGAGGCGTGGGATTCCGGGCGCGCGCTTCGAGGCTGCCCATTTTCAGGTTCGTGCGGAGCACGCCCCATATCGTGCAAAGAGGCGCCTTCGAGCATATACGAGGGCTGAGCGACGCAGGGGGAAGCCCCGGGCTCCGCGAGGGAAGACCCTCCCGCCCCAGCGCCTCGAGGTCCCATCTCCTGGTGCCCCGGCCACCTCTCCCTCGGAAATGACCCAGGCCCTGAGTGGCCAGTGGGCACCAGTTTTTGCGTCGAAATCGGCTCCGCTCGGGCGCCTGCGCACTTGCATAGAGAGGCATGACAAGCCTTTCGGTTTGTCTGAGGTTTCGCCCCCGACGCAGGAGATCATTGAGCGAGCGATAGACTATGCCTCGCCCACGGCCCCAGGCCCTGACGGGCCACCGCGCGCGGCTTGGTAGCAGACTCGTCTGGCGGGCCCTGTTCTTTTCGATGTACTTCAGGTTCTTCTGGGTGCCCCCCCCCCCCACCCGTCGAGCTGAATGGGCTGCTCCTGGTGTCTGCCCCGAAGGGTCGCCGAGCAGAAGACTCGCATGTTCTTCGTAATCCTGCCGCCGCGAGGCCACTGGCGCGCAGGAAATATAAAAAAAAAAAAAAAAAAAAAAAAAAAAAAAAAAAAAAAAAAAAAAAAAAAAAAAAAAAAAAAAAAAAAAAAAAAAAAAAAAAAAAAAACGCAGATGCCACGATTCTTGCCCCGGCGCATACTTACTCCCTCAAGCCAGTTCTCACGCGCGACGCTCGCCCAGACCAGAGGGGCTTCGCTGCTCAACGGAAGTGTCTCGATAATGTGACCCTCCTCGGCACGTCTGCGCGTCTTGCCAGCGTGCAACCTGCCGCGCAGGAGAAGCTTCCTGCTCTGCTCCTGCTTGGCTTTGGCAATGCGTTCCCCTCGCTCTGTCATATCTTTCTTTGGTGTTTGCTTGAGCTCATCCATCTTCCTCTCGGCTTTCAGCATTCCACTCGCGCCGCGCATTCATTCGGTGCTGCCTCTGTAGCCATGCAAGGCGTCTGTTCCTTCTTCCGCTTCATTGAATCGGGCGCCATGCAGGGTTACCCACTTAGTGGGGCAATGTGGGCTCTGTGCATGGATCCGATAATTCGTCATGTGCGCAAGAGTCTGAAGACATTCCCTGGAGCGGAGGTTGGCGTTCGCGCGGATGGTGCCGGGGCGTCTCTTCGGGATATCAACGCCCAAGCGAACCTGATTTTTTCCATGCCGCCCAGATCCGAGCGGGTCTCCAATTAAAGCATTAGAAGTGCAAGCTGGTTCCTGTTGGTGTTGCATTCTAGTGCGAGCTAAAAGAGAGCGCGCAGAGTTTCTTGTCCAAGCGAGTGCCCAAGTGGGTTGACATCCCCATAGTCGACTGCGCCGAATATTCAGGGGTGCGGATCTGCCCAGCAGCGTCGAGAGGCGCGACGTGGGCGAGGGCGTTTCGCGAGTGGCGCGGTGTCATGCACTATCTTGCTGCGACAAAGGCCGCCCCTCAGTTGCAATCACTTTGTGCAACTCTCGATCGGTCTCGAAGTTTGCTTACTTTGCTCAGCTCTCGCCAAGGCCGAAATCCATGTCGAAGTGGGAAAGCTGGGCATTGCATCGTGTGCTTCATCTCCCACCTTTCTCGTTTGCAATCTCTGCCCTGCTCTCGCTCCGTTCTTGGCCTCGCATCCGCCCGCAATCGTTCCGCATCTCGTGCGCAGCTTCGCTCGTCCGCTTTGCGCTTTCGACAGTTGTCAGTTACTAATTGGTGCCCTCTCTGGACTCGCCTAAAGCAGCAGCGCCAGCAGCACTTGCCCATAGTCGTATGGACTTCGAACGACTGGTCTCCGCATCACTGGCTTGCTCGCCCGTTCGCGCAGGAATTGCGTGAGGCCGGCCAGTCGTTCCCAGCATGCCCGCGCCTGCGCCAGCATGTGTTGCACGCCCGCCACGCTCTCGCTGAAGCTCGCAACATCTTCCCAGGGGCGCCCATCCAGAGGACAATTGCTCGTGGCTTGGAAGAGGCGGTTCTGGTTGATTCCCTGGGAGATACGATTGCGAAGCGCATTTCGAAGTGGGCCTCGCGGCCCCCGACAGCGTGTGCTCTCGCGGCTCTAAGTTGGCCGAAGCTGGGAGATGTCCTTGTTCTATTGCCTCCCGCTTGGCAGATCTCAATGATAAGGGCTCTGGCGGCGTGGGGTGGGGTGGGGTGGGGGGGGGGGCGGAACGACGCATGTCGCAAAGAGACTGTCCATTCAAATTCCTTCGGATGTCTTCATCAGCTGCAAGCACAAGGTCATTACCTTAGTTGTCCCGAGCTGTGGGCGGCTTTTCTACAGGTCTGGAGACCTAATGACCAGATCGAGCCACGCCTTGATCGCAGGCTTGCTTTGTCGTCGAAGAGGACAGATGATCAGCGCAAGCTAACCGTCCAGAGAATTGTGAGATTGCTTATTATCTGTATATTATTAAGAAGGCTACGGTCGCCACCCCGATCGCCGAGTGTGCGAGGACAGCTCGTGCCCAATTGCTCCGACAGTTTACGGGAGAGGACTGATATCATCTCCTTCCGAGCTACGCGCGGGGAGCAGGAGGAGGTGGAGGAGGTGGGGGGGAGAGATTGGCCGAGTGACCCCATCTTCGAGGCTCTCGAGATGCCTGCGTGGACGAGTCGGGGGCGCGGGCGAGGGAGGGAAGGCCAAATTTTGTGGCCAGGACAGGGATGGATCTGCGCAGCTGCAGGTCCAGGATCTGCTCGCCCTCGTCCTCGTGCACGCCGCGATCTGGCGTGGCACGTCCTCCTTCTCTCCTCCCCGTCCCCTTGACTCTCCTCTCCCCGTCCCGGAATGAGAAGTAGGAATGATATCCGAAAAATGGGTATGATGATGAGCGTTCTGATGATGACGATGTTGATGCTGGTGCTGATGCTGGTGACGATGATGATGCATATGCTCATACCGATGCTGGTGAGGATGATGCCGACGCTGATGCCGATGATGATGATGAGTATGATGAAGCGGATATTATGATGAGGATGATCATGATGATGATGATGAGGAGGAGGAGGAGGAGAAGGTGGAGCGAAGAAGCTGGGGGATGAGGTGGATGTGATGTTCGAGGGCCCGCCGGTCCTACGCTGCGCAGATTGCCTGCCCCGGCTTTGTGCCACGTCTGCTTCCTGAGGTCTTCGGCGTGCTGAACGTCATCACGGCCACGACTTTGCCCCCCTCTCTCCCGAGCTGTCGCCCGCCGTTCCTGCTGCGCCTCCCTTCCGTGCCACCCAGTTCCGTCGTGATGCTGCCCGATGGGGTAGATCTCCTCATCGTCCTCCTTTCCCTCCTGGTCCTCCTGCTCATCCGCCCGATCTTTCCACTCTGCACTTGAGCATCCGCCTTCTCCTCCTCCTCCTTTTCCCTCTTCGCTCCTCATCCCCCTTTCCCTCCTCCTCCCCCTCTTCTCTCTTACGGGCCTCCTTTCTCTTCTACGTCTTCCCCCCTCTCCTTTGTCCTCATGTGGGTCAGGCTGGCTTTGGTTTATTTCATTGTGTTGTCCTCCTTCAGGCAGTTTTGGAATGTAGCATCCTTAGAGTCGGACGTTTTAGCAGCGCAGGCGGCGCGGCCACTAAGCTCGTCACCGTGCACTTGGGCCAAACGCGTCTCACGTATCGCACTGTGTTCTTCGCTGGCGACGTAAACCCTTCCACGGTTTTGGGTCATTACACGAGCAAAGATGAGGCACTCCAGACATACTCAGCCTGGAATGTCGGGTCTCGTTGAGACTGGGGTCCCGCGGCTGTCGCTGTAGGAGGCCCGGCCGTTGTTAAATGTTGTCTCCTGGTATCGTTTGTCGCCGCGCGTCGTGCATGAGAGTGTCTGCTCGCTTGCTCTGCTCGGCGACATCAAGAGTGGTGTTCATTGTCCCAGCGCATCCGCACAGCATGCCCCTTGCCGCGCAGTAGTATGGGAACCACCAGCCGACACATCAGCCATGAGCGATCTGGTAACGCAGTCGGTTTTCGGGACGCAGCGTCGTTGCCCGAGTGCACGGACTCGGTCAGGAGAGGTTTGTTGGTCCAATGTGGTGGCCCAGTGGCCGCTAGCGAAGTGGGGTCGCGATTCAGCGGAGGGCCGCGGGCGTTGTTGTTCGGCCGGCGATGGGGAGGGGGAGGGGTGCTAGTTTCACGCATCGTCTTTACTTGCTCGCTCCCTCTCTCTCTTTCTTTATGTTTGTTTCTCTCTCCCTCTCTTTCTTTTGTTCTTCTCTCTCTCTCTCTTTCTCTCTCTCTCTCTCTCTCTCTCTCCCTCTCTCTCTCTCTCTCTCTCTCCCTGTCCTTGTTGTGCACACATGTTTCTTGACACAGGAAAGGCCACCATGTACAATCAACTTTGAAGCGCCCCTGCTGGGCTGGCTCGATATCAGGCTCTCCCTGTGCGCACGTGTGGAACCAGTTGCCCGCGTGGCGCGCGGCATTGCAAACATAATGAGGTATTTGGGTGTTGTGGCGGCCCGAATCTGGTGAATGTGGCGATGCGAATTCATTGTTAGCATGTTTTGGCTGGAATGTCTGACAATATCTGGCCTCTCAGGATGTAAGTTTTTTTGTGTTTCAGACCCATCCTCTCTCTCTCTCTCTTGATCTCACACTGCTGCACTATATGTCACAGCGTGTCTGCGTTGGCTGTCCTGTTTGTTCGCAAGGGGTTGCGTGATGTTGTCAGCGCGCTGTCATTTCTACTTTCACACGCAACTTTGATGTCCATGCGTCGCCCCAGGGTATTTTCGTGGAGTGCGCGGTCACGAAAGCTCGTGCGGACACAGACCTGTCTCTCCAGGAGGAGACGTAGCATTGCTTTGATGCTGATCGTAGGGTTTCTGCATGTGGCTCCGCTAGCCCTTTTGACGTGACTCTCGCATTGCTCGTTTGAGTTGCTCGGTTCGCCCGCATGCTGTCAGTCGCTTGAACTCCTGACCCCTCGATGCCCACGAATTGGAGCGACGTGCGTACCATACCTTGTACACGATTTGCAAGTCGCAATGCGCTCGGAGCAGATATTGTATCTCTTGCGTGAGTGGCGAGCCCCGCCTCGGGCACACGTCTTCATGGATGGGCACTCGTGTGCTTGAGCGCGCCTGTGCGCATGTGTCGCGAGTGCGTACAGCAGTGCGGGCATTTTGGTCGTGGACACAAAAAAGTCGTTGCAGTGACCATCGCCTCGAGCACGGCCCCCTGCAGGCTGCCAGAGCTGGGCGAGTCCTCTGCCGCCCTGGTGGCTTCTGCCTGCGTGGCCGTGCGAGTGTGCGGATGTAGGGGAAGATGGATGAGGCCTGCCAGCCACCAGGTTGAAATTTGGATTCGCAAGTCCCCACAGGAATCTGTTCTGATGGGTGCGCGCAACTGGTCGTGCGCACCCCGCTTCGCTCTGAGATTCGAGCCATTTTGTTTTGATCATCATCCTCATCCCCCCCTCTCCAATTTGCCGAACATGAGTGCCAAGCGGGCTGACAAGGATTATGTTCAACTGAATACTCGATTCTATCACCCAATCGTTGAACAGATCGTGCTTTCGCCATGCGAATCATTCATACTCTTGGTTTTCGTGTTCTCCCTCCTTGCTGCACGCTCCTCTATCAATATGATTGCCAGCTTGGACCCCAACCAGTGAATAGTTATTGTGCTATGACATAGCTTTTTGTGTGGGCGCTCGAGGGGATGGGCGGAGGGGGGACTCAAACCGGTACCATCCCACCCGTAACGTCTTTTCGATTCTTGATCCCCGCAAGGAGGTTGACCGCGAGAAGAGCATGATGATGCAGCTCATCCAGCTGTTCAGGCTCCCCGTTCCGATCTCGCGCCTCTCGAGGGGTTCGTCAGCACGGGGCCCTCTCCGCCGCTCGACGCCCCGGGTCTCGCGCGCGGCCTGAGCGTGTGGCGGGATGGCCGGGCGCCGAGACGGGCTGACGCCGGCTGGCTCACGGTCTTCCTCCATCCCGTGGCGCTGACGCGCGGACCCGCCACCGAGCTTTAGGCCTCCTAGATGGGGTCCGAGTAGATGGGGTCGGAGGATCGCGCCGCATCGTCGATGCATCGACGATGCGGATCGATGTGGAGACCGTGTTTCCCCACGCCGACGTCGCTGATGCATCGCCGACGCAGCTGATGCATCGCCGATGCATCGCCGATGCATCGCCGATGCATCGGCGATGCATTGGTGATGCGGCGCGATCCTTCGACCCCATCTACTCGGACCCCATCTAGGAGGCCTTTACAAGCTTGGTCAGGCCGCGTGGCGCAGAGCCTGTGCTTGATTGCTTTGGTGTCGCTGCGCTGTTTCGGTCCTCAGGTCCTCATCGGTCGGTCCTTCCGTTTGTAGTCTTTCTGTGGGCCTCGCTTCGCCTCGCTCGTCGGGCCCTCGCCGGTCCCCGCGTCGCATCTTGTGGCTATTGGGAGCTAGCGCTTGACTCTAGCCCACCTCCGAATAAATAGCCAAGGCAAGGGAGGCAGGCGTCAGCAACCACCCGCGGCAGTGCAGCAGAAGGAGGCCCCCATTGGGAGCCGAGGACTTGGCCTGGGCGGAGTAGGCGGGAGATGGCGGGAGGCGCGTGTTTTTGGCGCTACCCGAACATACTCATTTTTTGTTTCTCTCTCTCTCTCTTTCTCTCTCTCTCTCTCTCTCTCTTTCTCTATATATGTGTGTGTGTGTGTGTCGCCCCCCATTGGCCGACGCGCGCGCTGAGACACATGGTAGAGGCTCCGTGGTGGGCTCTCTCTGGCGTTCTCTGGCCATACCGCTTCGGGAAGCGACATACTGCAAGATGGCTGTACGTTCGGATCGGACGGCACGCCTCCGAGGAGGACACGCAGTACCAGCATGTCCTCGTGCGCCCCCTGTCTGGGCTGGGCGTAGGCTGCGGCCCTTCGCCAGAGTGCCCTCTGGTGCGGACCTACGGTGGCCCCCTCATGCATTGGCCCGCGCGTCTGAAGATGGGCCTACGCGGCTCCATGAAAACGCGCACCAAAGGGCATTCAGCGTAATGTATCGCCTAACCCTGATCTCATAATAAACTCGTAGCCTAACTTATGATCTCGGTTTGTATCCCCAAGCGTGTGGGCATCAACGAAAAAGTCCCCTTATCCCTAATGTGTTTGGCCCTCCTAACTTGTGTCCCCTCCCAAAGGCGTAGGTGCACTTGTATTGCTTATCATCTTACACAGGGCCACTCTTGCGTGTAGCCGAGTGTTGAGGGACCACACGTCAGAGGAGACACACTCGTACCGATCCCGCTGCTCGTCCTGGAGAGCCCTCGTCACCACGGCTGGGTCCTGCTCGAAGTTCTGATCAGGCTTCGCCTGGGGAAAGGTCTTGGGAGCAGCGGTATCGGTATTTGTTCATTCACCCCAGCATGGGTGCGGAGGAGGTGTGGAAGAGGAGGTGACGGTGGAGGGAGAAACGGAGGTGGAGGAGGATGGAGGAGGACGGGGACGGAGGAGGTGGGAGGGCCGACGAGGACGGAAGCAGGGGGGGACGGGGCGGGCGAGGGTGGGGAGTGGCCGTGGGGCGAGCCGGGCCGAGGGTCATGGACGCGAACATGAGCGGCACCATTTCGCACGACGAGTGGGATGTGACCCCACCGCACCCCCCTTTATGCACCCTCTCCTGCTGGCGCCGCTGCTCCTCCTCCCTGCCCCGGGTCTTCTTCTGCTGCCATCTTTGCTGTGGTCTATTCTTCTTCTTATTTTTCGTCTTCTTCATCTTATTTTCATTCCGCATCAGACTCATCAAAGGCATCTGCATCAGCGTCAACTCAGCATAAGGCATAAGCATCAACGTCATCATCGGCATCTGCATCATAATCGGATGCTTCCAAGGTCCCGTCCGAAGGCATCACAGTCGCGGAGAAAAGTTGGAAACGAAATTCTCCACTTTTCGCATGGAAGCATCTGAGCGCACGTCAGATTAACAGCAACTCACATCAGTCACATCCGGCGCTGCACGCACGTCGTGCCGACGTGGGCCAAAAGGTTGACTAAAATTCTGCACCGCTTGGATCGCACATGGGCGGCGGCCCCATCCGCTCGGCGGCGGCCCCGTCCGCGCTCGAACCGCCTTGAGACTGTCCGACTCCTAACTTAGAATTATAAAGAATGAGTGTCGGATGAGTCTCAAAATCTGCACGGCATGGTACAAATTCACACCAGACGCGTCCGATGGCGGTATCAAACAGTCAATGGGTCTCAAAGTGCCCTAAACCCTCGGCGCCGAGCACATCCGCGAGTCTCACATTGTCTCAAAGTGCCACGAAACCCTCGGCGCCGAACGCAGTCGCGCGTTTCAAAGGGTTCCAAATCGCCCCGAAACCCTCGGCGCCCAGCACATCCGCGAGCCTCACATGGTCTCACAGTGCCACAAAAGCCGTCAGCGCCGAACGCAGTCGCGCGTCTTCAAGGCTTTCAAACCGCCCCGGAACCCTTGGCGCCGAGCCCACCAGCAAATCCCACATGGTCTCACAGTGCCAAGAAACCCTCGGCGCCGAACGCATTCGCGCGTTTCAAAGGGTCTCACAAGGGCCCGAAAACCTTGGCGCCGAGCACATCCGCACGCCCACACGAGACACGCCACCAACCAATCACGCGGGAATTGGAGCGCCAAAGGCGTACTCCACCGCGTGTGCGTGTGTATGTGTGTGTGCGCGCGCGTGCGTAGTGGTTGGTGGTGCGTGTGCGTGCGCGCGTGGTGGGATGTGCGTCCGCGTAAATAAGGCGACGCGCTGCACTGTGACCACGTTCGATGCAACGCAAAAACATGCACAGCAATGGTTCCGAAACGTCCGCACGCATTGGACTAAATGTGGACATCGCGCTTCCGCGCAAGGTATTCAGTACCACTGCAACTTCAATGGCGACGCCGCAAAGAACGTGACCCCCGCGCGAGCGAGAAATGCATTTCCAAACATGCTTTCTCGGACTGTATGCGAGGATGTCTCGTGCGTAACGCTCACGCGTGAACCGAAGTATTGCAACGCACTTGTTTTTTTTTCTGATTTTCGCGCCCCCCCACGCACCACCCCCAAAGAAGGCCTACCATTGGGTGCGGAATGGGTCAGTTTTCCGCGAGTGCTAACTACGCTCGGTTGGCGACGCCCTGATTGCAAACAGCGCTTGTTTGACACATTAGATTTGTTCTGAGACCTTACGGCTGCAGGCTGAATGACCGTCGGGACCGACCTCTAAGTGTTCCGCCGCAGCGCCGAGCGCGCCCCGCAGCAGTCCAGGGCCGACCCCTTTCGCAAGTCCTCCGGATATCCGAGCAGAGCATGTGAAGGTGGTATGCCCATGCCGCGGGGCCGCCGTTCGCCACCGCCAAAGCGCTCGCAGGTTTGGTTGGTCCGGCGGCCGGGGCCGGCCCCCCTCCGCAGGTGTTTTTGTTGACGCCATCTTTTCGGAAAGCCCTTCGGTGTCGGATGGGGCGGGTCCAGGGCGAGGGTGGCGCCGTGGCTGCTTCTTTCCGCCAGAACGCTCGCGGATGACTTGCCGGCGCCTCTGTGCCATTGAATCCTTTCTCTTTGACGGGGCTCAGACAGTGACCGGCGTCGGCTGTCAACGCCCCCTCCGCGCGTCCCGGTCGGAGACCCTCTCGGGTCACGTGAGTGGGGGTACTGGCAGCCGACGCCGACCTCTTTCGCAGGTCCCAGCAGGAACGACGATTGGGACATGTGAGCGGGGGGCATGGCGCCGCAGCTGCGCTGAACGCGGACCGTAGCAGAAGCAAGAAGTTTGGGACACGTCCAGGGGCGGGGGGGTCATGGTGCCACAACTGCGCCGAACACGCCTGGGAGCAGTCGCAAGAAGTGTGGGGCATCTCGGGGGGGGATCTTGCGACCCCCCAGGCATGGTTTGGTCTAGGGGAAAGAAGAATCACTTCAACATACAAACTCAGAGGTCCGCGCGGACCTGTGAGTTTTTCGGTCTATGTCATTTTTCGTTCCCTTATGGTCGGAACGCTGACAAGGACATGGCAGGGGGGTCGGGAAGCCGAGGCCGACCCCCCTTCACACGTCCCAGGCGGCTGTCCGACCGGGCGAATATGTGAAGACAGGGGAGCATGGGGTCGCAGCTGCGCCGCACACGCCCCGCAGCAGTCGCAAGACATTTTGGACACTAGTCCTCCTCCTCCTCCTCCTCCTCGTCCTCCTCCTCCTCCGTGGAGTGTCGCCGGCGACCCCCGAGTCATGTCCCAGTCGGCGCGCCGACTGGGTCATGTCTGGTGGACCCGAACTAGCCGATCTGCCCCCGTCACCCTTCAATCTGTGGCTTGTACAATACAAGCGACCTGAGCTCGGAATGGAGGTTCGGATATGCGAGCAGGTGTCCAGCTCCTCGCCAGAATAGTTCAAGGATCTCTCATGTGTTTCCCTTCGAAGCCCTCTGAGGGTATCGTTGGCTCTGCCTCGCGAGTCCCCATGGGGGAATCAAGAGGAAAACCATCTTACCAAAACGAAGACACCGACCTCTTTGTTCCGAAGCGGTGGGTTTGGAGCGAGCGTGGGCGAAAGGCCCTCCCCCTTCTCCTTTTTGGTGGACTGCCCTCTTCGTTTGCAACCTCCTGGCTCAGGACCGATCTTCTTGTTGTTGTCTGAAGCTGGGGGTGTTTCGCACCAATCTGCACCAGAGCACGTTGGCCCCCTGACACACCGAAAGGAATAACGAATTATTTGACAACGGAGCTTGGTCGTAGCGTTTGTGAAGAAATCTGTGTAGCTTGAACGTCATTGTGGGTCATCTGGGCTTGTGTGAGCCTGACATAGAACGTTGGTAGAGTCGCTGCACAAGTATCGTACGTAGAGCATATAATATGCCGAGCTGCCTGCGGCAAGTCCCACCACCGTGCCAGCCCAGCATTCTGGGTGGCCACTGTTCGAGGGGGCACGGGAAGCCGTCACGTGTGACACATCGTGTCTCCAAGCTTGGGAGAATCGTAATGAGGATTATGAAGATGATGGGAGTGTTGATGATGATGATGATGATGATGATGATGATGATGATGATGATGGTGAGGCTGCTGATGATGATGAGGTTGAGGTTGTTGAAGGTGATGATGCTGATGATGAAGCTGATTCTGATGATGGTGATGTTGATGGTGGTGATGATGATGTTGCTGACTATGATGATAATGTTTGTGATGATGATTCCGTCGAGGACGGTTTTGATGATGATGAAGTTGACGATGGCGATAATACTGACGATGCTGCCGCTGATGATGATGCTCATGAGGGCGATGCCGATTTTGGTGCTGATGCTGATTCTGATCATGTTGTTGATGATGATGATGGTGATGTGGTTGACACTGACGATGCTGATGATGACGAGCATGATGATGCTGCGGCTGATGATGAGGATGTTGATAATATAAATGATAATGATGATGAGGATGATGATGTGGATGAGGATGATGATGATGATGGTGCTGATTCTGATGATGCTGATACAGCGACTTGTCGGCATTTGTGGGCATGTGTTGTGGCCGTATCTCCTCGCTCAAGTTCTTGAGGGAATGCAGGCCCTGGTCGAGCGAGTCTCGCAGGACTTCGCCAGCGCTCTCTCCACGGCCATCATTGTGCGCGGCAGCAGCCTGCCGTACCCTGCCTGCGACTGTGTGTGCTCATCATTGCGGCTTCTTCGGTGCTCACTGCAGCACTGACTGGGCGCTCCCCTCCCCCGCCGCCGTCATTCTGAACTGATGCTGGCCGGCGAGCCCGCAGCAATTCTGTTGTCTGTTCCCCGCGCTTGCTTTTTCATGTGGGTTTGTGTTCTCGCATTTCCTTGAGAGAATCATATTATTTGCAGTTTTGCTTTATGCGGACGATTTTTGTTTGTTGTTGTTTTGACGTCCCGTCCGTTTTTTCTCGTTCTATATCCAGTGCCCCTTTATCAGCATGATTATCATCATACCTACCGGTGTGATCTCGCACTGCTTTATTTCCGACCGTGCGCCCCCCTGCCTGCTCCTCCCCTGCGCCCCCCTCTCCTTGCCCCTGAGCTCCCCCCACCCTCCCCTTGGACCTGCCTCCTCGGAGGCAGGCCACCGTCCTAGTCCTAGTCCGCCCACCCTCCCCACGCCCCCACGCCTTTCCCCCAGTGCTCCCCCCGCTCTCCCCGGGCCCCCCTCCCCTTATTCCGACCGTGCGCCCCCCCGCCGCTCCTCCCCTGCGCCCCTCTCTCCTTGCCCCCGTGCCCCCTCCACGCAGCGCCTGCGAAGCATCCCTGATAGAGATGCTCGCCCGGGCGCCCGGCTACGCTGGAGACGGCGGTCGGGCGCGCCCCTGCAGCAAGCCCTTGGCGGCCTGGCCCCAGCGACGTCGTCTCGGAGGCCGATCCCATCGCGCTGCAGGGTTGGGGACAGATTATGCTGAATCCCGAGTCGGTTGCCGCGGAGCTTCGGGGCGTTCTGGGCAGTGACCGCCCGCGCGCGGGCCCTAAGCTGCGCTTTCAGCTTAAATCCTACGCCCAGTTTTTGAAGCAGCTGGAGGCCCACGACATGATCGCACGGCGGGCAGCCAGTCCTCGGGCTGCTCACTCAATCGGTTTATTCTTTGTGGATAAATCCAATCGCATGCTCAGG